ATTCTACTCCACAAGTCAGCCTCTATTTCTACTAGACAATGTAAAGACATTTTGGGTGAACTCAGTTTTGACCCACAATTTTACAAATGCCATACGCCCATTAACAAAGTGCATCTCCCCAACATGACTTGGATAGAGTGAAGTGACTTTAAGACTGTCAGATCTAGGATTCCTCAGTAGCACCTGTTCACCAAGCTACTGCTGATGTTATGCTCTCAGCTACACGTCAGATATTATTAAACATGTCAGAAGAAACATGGTTTTCCAAAGTATAGATGTAGCTTTCTTTCCGAATGTTAATTCAGTAGTAGATGCAGATGTAGTACAACTTAGAAAGGCATGACGTACTTAATAAATAAATTATTGCTCACACTTAAAATGTCTAAACAACTGCAACGAGAAAAACGGGTAAAAATGTTTTTCAATATCAGAAAACTGTAACTCTGCATTGCATTTTTGTACAAATGCAGGATTGTACATCGCTATGCCACATGAACTAGTGACGCCTGCTTTTATTTGAATATGAATGCTCTTTTAATACAGCAAAGGGGCATACACAACCTTCAATTTAACCTTAGCCATTGTGCTCCATGCAGACCAGCCTTCCCATTGTTAAAGATGCTGCATCTTATTTTTTTAATAAGCAAAAGGATTAAATTAAACCCCAATGCAATCCAAATGAAATAGGGATTTTTGGATGCATTCATACAAAATGTGTCTGGAAAAGATAATTCCACTTAATGGAAGCATTTAAAGAAGTTGGCCGACGCCGCCACTGCAACTTGGATTATATCATGTGTTTTTTTTCTTTTATTGCTGTCATAATTTCTCTTAAAAGGCTGGACTCAACATTAATATGAATGTTTAACACCATTTAAACATTTACTATTTACAAATTTTATACAAGGAGGATTGCCACAATGAATAAACATCAAAGTTGATCTGTCGTCTTCCTATAATTATAATTATCATCACTAATTTTATTATTTCTTTGTTATTCAGTCTTATTTTTCTCCCTTTCCTCTCCATTTCCTGTCTCTGTATAGATCTCTCTCAGCCGGAGTTAGGGGCTGGAGGGAGCTGTCAGATTTGCGGCTGATATCTCAATTAAGCAAAATAGGAAAATCTATTGTTTATGGGGGTGTGAGAGGGTATTTCTAAGCCGCAGGCTTTAAAACGGGAACAAGAATGTGTTCGGTCAGCTTGAACAGCACAGGAGGATTTCGGGGAGGACTCCTCCTTTGTGACACATGCGGCATAGACATAATGAATTATATTATAATTACAAAGCACAGTCTGTAGAAGTGGACAATATAGATATTTGGCCAGGGGGTGGAGTGTGCTGCTCCACAGAGACTGGGCCACTCCAGACTGCATTTCTATTCAGATCACTTTAACTTCGACAAATCTCAATATAAATGAATGGGGCTTTGTCCGCAAAATAAAAACATTTGAACAAGGACGCCTCATCTTCTCATACGCTGGGGACACATAAGCAATGTTACACACGTCCAAAAGATATCGAGCTGCCAAGAATCTTTTTTTGACTTTGTGCTCACGATGTATTTATTTAAAAAAGAATCCAAAATAACAGACGGAAAAACAAACATGTAAAACTCTATTAAAAAATAAATGTTTTTCTGTTTGTCACTGGTTTGTGTGTTGTGTGTGTGCTGATGGTGGAGGTACTGTATATTGTGGAGAGACCGGGGAAAGCAGAGCGAGCAGAGAAGCAGAGGGGAGGGAAGCTGGCAGTGACTGAGAAGATGAGGATTTGACGGCAAGGTGACAAAGAGTTCAAACAAAATGAGGCTTGTAGATTAGCTGCACTCCCCTCAGTGACAGGTGTCATCTCTTGGGGCAGTCTGTCACTCTGCCTGCTGCCACTCTTTATAATATGAAGAGAGAGAGAGAGGGAGTGGAGGAAGAGAGGCAGGACCACTTGCACTTCACAAGGCACGGCCTCGCCTGCTCTACCTGCCAGCAACCCAGATTAAAGCCTAAGTGGCAGAGGGAGATCGAGATGAGCATAAGTACAGCTAATGTTTATTTACCTCGCAAGTGATTTTACTTTAATAGTTTCATCACAGTCTGAAACTTCACTTAAAGTCGACTTAGAATCAAGGACATTATCTTTTCATAGAAAAACCATAATGTCCATCATTACCCTTTGGCTGCTTGAGGGTATACTAATCTATATTGCTTTACATCTTTAATCTGTGCCTTATTAATCAATCACTTTTCATATCACTGGATGTATTAGGACATTACAGGGAAATTTGCAAATCAGTGAGTTGGGCTTTTTTGTAGCAATACTAGATTTTCATATAAATTTCATCAATTCATGTGTCAGGTATTTAATTAGCTGCGTTGGTTGGCCAAGAACAGATCATTTCATCTGGTTAACATGTTATTTTCAATATCATGTGCAATATTGATTCCATATTACAACCTCTGATTATCTTTGACATTTACTGTCTTGCATGACTTTTTATTTATATTGTTATTTCTTGTCTTATCCACTGAGTGTTTCTCAATGAAATTTACAAAATAGTCCTCTTAATACCACGATATATCGCAATAATATAGATTTACATGCTATGTATGAGATTGTATATACCCCATTCACAAATTCTTTATTATAGTTGTGTCTAAAGATAAAAAAACATGACCACAACATCAACATATTTTGCAGTGGAGTTGTTCTCTCCCTGTAGTAAATGGTTATAATATAGATATAGAGATAAAAAAGGGTATTGTTTTTTTTTTTTAATAGAGTTGTGAGTTTTACCCAGACCCTTAACAAGTCTTTGATACATGAAGGTATTAACTAAAGCTTGGAGGGAGCCAGCTCACATCATCCCAGTGACATGCAGGCTGAGACCTGCTGCTCTCTGCCCAGGACTCCAGCCATCTGCTCCACAGATTGCACTGAAACCCGCACAGCGAGCGCTGCAGCCACCCCTCTGGGTGAGAGAGTCACCAGAGGGTCAGCTACGTCTTCACGACTTTCTCCCTTATACGTTGTGACTGCTTTTGCTTGTTTACTTTGACGCGGGTCGCTAAGCAACAGAATTAATAATCTCATAATCTGCGCTGAGTGACAAAATGAGGATTCGCCCGCTTCTAACAGGCAGCGAGGGAGACTTCACAAAGAGAGGGAACGGGAAATTAAGAAGAAAAAAAAAAAGCATGAGAAGTTTTTTGGGGGGGTTTTTGACAGATGAGGGATGCCCCCTATTGACTTTGTTAGCGGAGCTGGAAACAGAGTAAAACCAGGGAGCAAATGGTGATCGCAAATTGTGAAGAGAGATAACCCGAGTGCCAGCATTCTCACTTACTTCCACAATGGAGGGAAACAGGTCCCTATAAGATTATATGGACAAAGGAAAGACTTGGGTGGAAAATTCAGATGAACGGTTTACATTAAGGTTTGAAAATATTCATTGCACGGGTTGGGAGGGATAGAAGGTTATGTGTGTGTTTGGTGCACTCTCTGAATAACAATCACGTTGTGAAGAATCCAACGAATAATGAAATCGACGACGAATGGTATAAAAATTACAGCTTAACAATTCCAAGTTAGAAACTAAATAAAACAATAAACATGTTAAATGTTGTATCTATAACTAGATTCTGTGCTTGGCTTAAATGAATTTCCAGATAAAGCGATGTCACACGCATGCAGCATGACGGCATCTGCGCCCTTTGCATTGAAAAACAAGTCATATGCCTCACAGTGTGTCTCTGGTCTGTGAACCTGTGTCCGTTGGGGAAATCGACCACCCTGGGCACAGTTGTGCTGGAGTGAGTAATGAGGCAGGCTTTCCACGATGGCTGATAGAGGCTCCATTTAACAGCCACGCTTCAGGGTATTCTCTGTGTTGTGGAATGGAAATGAGATCTGATAGAGCCATGTATAATTTGTTGTCACATCAAAGTGACACTTATTAGCTTTATTTCCTTATCATTGTTACATCTACAGTACCTCTGGGTAAATATCTCAGCTGCTGCTGCTGCTAGCATGCGTTTGTTATGTACCTCTAAGTACAGCAGCAGTCACTATAACTTTCATTGATTGCAGGTCTGTAACAACTGGTTATAGAAACTTCTGTCTCCTATTGATGTGTTTTCAAATTGGACGAAATGAACGTACTTTACTCCACAAATAGATTTCCTGAAAGCTTATATCCAGCGTCTCTGTCGGCTTAGAAATAGTTTGGGCATTTTAAATCTTTTGGGAGAGCAAACATTGTTGTCATGTTCATCTTTCCCGTGTGTGTCATTCCCTTTCATCGCCAAGGTTGATAATCTTACTAGTAATATCATCTTACAGGAAGTTTGTGGTGCCACACTGGGTTTTTTAATATATTTTATTCAGCAGTCATCATTCTCATACAGACACACACATTGGCTCGCGCACACAAGCAAACACACACATTTCCCATTAATCTCACAGCCATCCTGAAGTGGATTATTTTGAATTTATCCGGGAGCCCTCTTCATATCATTGTGACTTTGAATTGGGATATAGCTGGATGGACCACTATCAGAGCAGAATTATTTTCCCAACTCCAACAGAGAACTGAACATTGAGGGGCTGTATTTTACCATTGCATCTATAGATGCGCAGCATTATAACTCATGAGTGGCACCTCATTTCACACAGCCTAATGGCTTGACACTGAGAGCACACTGGGGATCCAGACAGGGGAGCTTCCCATCGTTTTTTTTTTTGGTCTAGGTTTTATGAGATACAAGGATTAGGGTTGATTGAAAGTCACAGTGAGCTGCTGCACAGCACAGCAGCACAGATACATATGAGGTTTTACATTCAACTTTTCTCACTGATAACTTAATTCCATTAATGAGACACAGCCAGACCACGTTGATTCATGTTTTTACAAATTCAGGAGGCTCAATTTTCTGTGCTGAGAAAAAAATCTGACAAGTCAAAGGGAAGTGCAGATGTGGGTCTCTCTACTTCGCCTCAAAAAAAAAAAAAAGTCACTGCAGCAGTCGTGATATTTAACAGATTCAGATAGAGAGAAGCAGACACTGAGGCACATTTTGCTCCCCAGTGAACTTATCTTACCCGCCTGGATGTGACAGACAGTGTAGCCCTCCAGCTTAGTTGTCATACACCAGCGACAAGTCAGAGCTCGTCAGGTTGCATGATTGTATAATTGTGTTGTGACACCTTGAACCCGCCGGTGGTATATAACCATGTTAATTTTCTGATAGCACACCGTGGGATGTTGGAATCAGAGCCATGATGGGTGTAATTTGTGCCTCCGAAGGCAGAGTGAAAGGAGCCGGGTCATCAGCAGGATAAATACAAATTAAAATTGATGCAGGTCTCATTTCTGCTTGACCAGTTTGTGTTGGGAGACTGCAGAGAGCGAGGAATGGTACACTTGCCATTCCAGCCATTTGCTCCTCCATTTCAATTCAGGGCCTGAAGGCAGAAAAACTCCAAATAAAATGCAGCTGCCCCAAGATGCACTGCAGTATCACAGCATTGATAGCAAAGCTCAGAGGGCTGGAAATACAGGGCGCAAGTTATGCTACGATGAGGATGTTTCTCATAAAAGGTTTCTATCCTGTACTTTCATGTGTACAAAAATAAATGATGTAGGTAGGAAAACAGAAAATAAAAGAGGAGGTGGAGGGAAGATTGTGGATATTTTTTTCCTGCATCAGTTGGAAGACTGGACACTTCAAATGAAAAGCTAGTGAGTTGTGAAACAATGAATGAGTGATGGCTTCATTTTGATTCTTGTATTAGCTGTTAGTTGCTCTCTTAGGCTGTGTATGTGACAGAGTGTGTGTGTGTGTGTGTGTGTGTGTGTGTGTCGTACGTCCAGCAGAACCAAAGAGGAATCCTCGTGAACTCCTGTCACAGCTTCTCTGACTGCGGGTTCAAGAGCTCTTCATTACAGCCTCTGCGCATCTGAGGGAGAGAGAAACAATGCTTAGAGCCTGGTGCACGTAACCTTTCCATTCAATCAGCCGTTCAAACTGTCTCCCTCCACTGCAAATCATTCTGTTTCTTGCTAGTCAAGTGCACCACAGAGTCAAAAAGCCTCCCATCAAAAATGGATAAAAATATCTTTTGCCGTGTTGACCAAAGATCATTTCTGGAATAAAATTCATTTTTTCATGTGATCACAAGGTGTTATGGGAGCTGTAATTGAAAATGATAATCACAACATTTTAACTGCTGCCTATAAATTACTCATCGACGCCTGTGAAATATGTACATTTACGAAAATAAGTGGTAAAACTGGCCTGACAGTACAATGCCTGCGTCAAACAAAGGCTCGTCAGTAATGTTTTATACAAATCCACTGATATAATAATTATACTATCCCCAGTCTTCAGTGGAGGTTGATTGTTCTTGCTGTGAGCTAACACACTTAATTGTAGTATGCAAATGAGAGCAATTACAAAGCTTTTAGGTGAAGAGATGACAGCTGAGGTTGGTTTTATTGGAGGCCTCGCCCAAACAGTCATCATGGAAACCACATAGAATAACGCAACTGTCAAACGGATATAATCTGGTGATATGTACAGAAGGGAGAACTTTTTGATTGCTGAACAAATTGTCAATTTGTGCCGTGCAAAGGAAAAGAGGATCCGTTTGAGAGAAAGAAATGTTGGAATGGATTCAATTTCCAAACCAAAGCTTCATAAGAATGTAAAATATGCTCTCATACGCAGCACGAGACGCTTTGAGCTTCGTGTCGTGTCAACAATTAGTAATATTTATAAAAAAGGATTTTTCATTTTTTTATGATAGTAGTCATCATTCAGCACATGTCTGTTCATACTGTTAAGATTGGAACAAAAACACCCACTGCTTAACATCTGTCCTATTGATCAGTAATCAGTTATTGGCTATTGATATGTGATCGTTTTATTTACTACACTTAATCTCAACTGTCGAGTCTGTATTTAGGTTTGAGCTCATATCACACTACACTATATTTCTCTTAAAATCCTCCTTGGGATTTTTCACACATTATCTTTTTTAAATATCTACCTACCATGCCTTGCCATCTGATGAAGATTTTTTTTTATTATATTATATATTTTTTTAATCAATCCCAAATTAGGCATTCACCATTCCATCTTTGTTTATCTCAAATTACAGCAAATGATACAATCACAAATGCAAAACAAAAAAAAAAGTTGCGCTCTAAATTTTCTATAACAATCTATATTACAATTACTCTTGTGCAGGCTTTCATGAATTAAATATGAGTTGTGTCTGAGAATGAGATGTTATAGTGGTAAACGACAAGAGGCAGCCTGTAATTGAGGTGGTGGCAACATGGGCCTGCTGAACTAATCCCTGACTCGGTCATGTGACGGGCTGCGCACCAATGACGGCAGTTCTTTTCACCACAAAGCCGGGGCAGCTGGGAAAATTGATTTCTCATCTGAGCTGTATTTGATAGCTTTTGAAATCAAAAATTGAAATTAACTAACCTACGCCCCATCATTACAAAAGAGCAAATTAAACTGTGCTGCAGCGGCTCCTCTGAGCGCTGGAAGCAGGAAACAAATTTGAAGATGCAAGCAGGCTCTCCTCGGCCCGTGACTGTCACACTTTCTGCTCAGTGTAATATGAGAGACAATACAGAAAATGTTTTCTGGTTTATACTAAATTAATTATGAGTAGAAATAATTATTGTTAAATGAAAAGAAAAGATTGTGTTGTGTGGTTTCAAATTAGATTTTCTCCAAATATAATAATATTCAATTATTTTAATTATAATTTAGAATAAAATAATATTTGACCGATAATATACAGTACATTATCAAGAGGTGTGTTTGAGTGTATGAACGCACATAAATGTTCACTAAATTAAACAACCCCTAAATATAGAGAGTTGGTAATTTGTGACTAAATGTTGATTTAGAAAAAACATGTATTTTAAGTTGAAGGTAAATAAATCTTTAAACACAGCGATGAATTTTGCTATACCTGTAAAAACTATGAGTAACTGATTTCCTATTCATTACTGGAACAATTCAAACAGCAACTTTACACACACACGGGACTGGAGTCTCTTTGTGAGAGTGAGTGAAAGTGGACAAGACGGGGAGCGAAACAAGGTAGCTGCTCGCACTGACAAACGACACGCTGAAACAGATGTTCCTGCAGGTGGACGTGAAGATCAATAGGCGGCGGAGAGCAGCGAGATAGTTACCTGAGCTGCTGGAACTTGTAGCAGATGCTAAACAGACTGATGCCCTGGAAGGCTGATCAATGGACAGGAGGCAGATGGAGGAGAACATGGAGGAGTGCTGGGAGGCGCTGTTAGCAGAGCGGCAACATAAAATAATGGGAGTCACATTTGATATGCAGATGGGAGCCTGTCCACAACGTTAACCCATCAACACTAAAATAATAGGCTTTAACTTTTTGGTGGAAAATACAACTTCAGCCAAAACTCCCTTCGTCAACTTCCACACGACACTAATTACCGGTGGATTTACCTAGTCAAAGTCAGGATCATGTAACGCTGATTATTTGTCCAATATATCATCATTCTAAACAGGTAGGTGAGGGCACTGGGATGACCATTACGTAGTGTGAGAAACAAGAGATTCAGCAGTTTCACTGGGCTATAAAACTTGCCTAATTAGCAGTGGTAAGAGGAAGAGTCAGGCTGTGATCTAACAGACTATCACCTTTACCTCCCATTAGTGAATTAAACACACACTGAAAATCCCACAGCATCTTTTGGCCACCACTGCTGGGTATAACCAGACTGTTCTCATTCAAAAGAAAGCATGTGAAGGGGTAGCAGAAATTATATATAATATTTAACACATATAATCTGCAATAAATATTAAAAAAAATGAACACATCAATTAGATTCAGAGTATGACCAGTGTTCTTAATGCTGTGGAAAATAAATGTCTGAATTTTCGCAGCAACGTCGCTCTCAGCTGAAAAATACTGCACACCTGCATGAGCACAGACCTGCAGACACACTCTCTTACACACACACACACAGATCTTCTGACATCCAGCATCCCAGTGGCCCCGCTGTCCGAGAAGCAACTTGAACTAGCCGATAACCTGATAGACTTTATCTTGTCTTGCCTGGGTCTCAGTGAAGCCTGAAGAAGACACTTCAACTGCACAGCATCCCCCCAGAGTCCTAACCTTCCCCTCATCTCTCCGCGCAGGGATCGGTGCCTGAGAGCTGTCAGCGGCCTGTTGCTTATTGATGTTTCTGCATGTTTTATGTCTTTCTGAGATATGACGGCCCTGACACAGTGCTGATTTCAATCAGCGTGCCACACACCGCACAGAGTGACAGCTTGGGAAAGCAAGGACAAAAAAATAGAAAGAAAAAAGAAAGAATTGGTGGGGATGTCATTGGCTCAGATGAGCTCCGGCCTCATCTCTAACCAGGGATTCTCCTCCCTTCTAATGAAAATGTTTCATTCACTCACATCTCATGCCTCTCTCGCCGATGAATTCAATAGAAGAAAAAAGAGAAACGAATAGTGAGGGAAAGAAATTCAGCTTTTGTCAGATTGGGGAGGCAAGAAGAGAGGATGACCCCTGAGCCAAAGGTTCTGACACTGCATCAATCCCTTTAGGGGCGAGGCCTGCTGGACGAGCTCTGGCTGAAGATTACTGCAGCACATCTGAAGGATGGCTGCTCTATCTATTTCACACATTCTATGCAGAGGAGAGCCTTGTATGCTTTGGATCCTGAGCTGCCCAGTAAATTAGGTCTGAGATCATTCCATGGAATGAGGGGAGCCATCCAAGGCAATTCAACTCCAAACCATTGACAGAGAGCTTACCGAATCCCTCCAAAAAAAAAAAAGGAAAGACGCATCCACTCCCTCTTTCTCTTTATGATACTAACTACAATGTACCATGGGTAATCCCAATAAGGCTCTTTACTTGCAAATTCAAGTATATGCACACATGTACCGATAAGACGCTCCCACGCAGCTTTCTCACATACGTGTTATTGACAAGCATATCACATCTGTTCAGCTCGCTGTGCTTTTGTCCTGATCTGAAGTCATATCTTTGACTTATTAGGTGGCGCAATGGGAGAATACGGTGCAGCGATAATTGTGAATTGTGAAAGATTTCATACTGCTGGTGACCTGTGTCTAAAAACATCTTATAATTAAACATTATACAGATTTTACTGTTTTATATGTATTTTTTTACTCAGAAAAATGTACAAAAATAAGATAAGATAAGATAATAAAATATAAATTCTTTATTATAAAGATAATAAATTATTCTATATTTTACTTCTTGTTATACACGTGTAATATCTCTGCTTTACTTTTTAAATCATTGTTTTTCTTTGCTCTACTTTCCACAGTGTTACCTCTGACTTTAACTTAATCTACACTGGGCTTTAAAGTGGAAAAAGAGAAATAAATCTCCGAGATCTCATCGTCTTCTCAAGCTTGTTTTTGTCTGAATCTGATAAAGTGCAATTTATTCCCTTCTGTTTTCACTGAGAGATATCAAATTAATAGCCCTATAGTCGTGGTGCTTTACTTTGACTACATCGTCATGTTTCACTTTCAGTTTTTTTTGTTACAGCACAAAATTACCACAGCCATAATGAGATTGAAAATAAAGACTAAATTAGCTGTCATTAAATTATTTCAATTTCCTTCACCTAATAGGAGATTGTGACAGGTGTCATAGTCGCCGTTCTGTTTGGCTTCACAACATGTTACAATGGATAATTGATCCATCAAAAAACATCAAGCCGAGGCAATAACTGGCTTGAGACTGGCATACTGAACATGCAGAAAATCGAATTTAACCCCATGTTGACTGAGACACTCCCCTGCTCTGTCGATCAAGCATGTCTCTCTTTGACAGCTCTGTTCGCATGTTGTTAAATAATCTAAAGAGAAAAAAAGAAACATGAAAGAAAAAGC